TCAAAGTGACATCTTTACTTTGTAACACTTTAAAGAGGTCTTTTGTAGTAGATTTACCCAATGCAATATGAGGTTTTATTTCTTGACTATTGCTTCTATGGTCGTTGATTTCCAAGTAAAAGGAAATTATTCATAGCCCGGTATATGTCTTTCTATATTTTGTGCCATGCTTATAAAATATCACAAAAACATATGTACACATACATATGTTTTTAAAACATATTGTTTATTTTATAAAAATGGGATATTATGATTAATTTATTCATTTTGGGTGATGAGTAGGTTATTTATTTTTCTTTTTGCTATTAAAAACAATGTTTATAAAAAGGGTTATACCTAGAAATGTGACTCTTAGATAAAGGGCTATTAAGTATTCTTAAAAACGTTTTTGTTATAACGGTAAAATCTGAACTTATGCAAGTAGACAGAATGTTATGCAGAACCTCATTTATCTACCAACCTTTGGCCAATCATTCCCCACACACACCTCCCCGTTCACAATGCCCCTGTGTTATTTTGAAGCATGTTCTATTCACCATATAATTTCATCCATAAATACTTCAGTATGTATCTTTAAGAGACATGAGCTCTTATACTTTCTTAGCTATTGCCAGATGGTTTTCTGAAAGACTTTTACACTTCACATATCCCGTTTTATTTTTCGTCCTATTAGGCAAACACTTCTTTTAGAATGTTTATTCTTCTATTATTTATTTTTTGATAATTAAGAAAATATACATATTTAATTCTTAAATGTCTGCCACTATCTTGGTTCTACTCTGATAGGTCAATAATGCCCTGGCTAGGTATAGGTTTCTTGTGTTGCAATCTTCTTAGGGTCTATGTTCCACTGCTGTAAAGAAGTAGTTCAATCTAGCAGGCTCTCTTTAGAGGTAACTTTCTACTTTTGGAGCTAATGAATTTTATCAATATATGTCCAGGAGTGTGTGTGTCTGTGTAAGTTGTGTTTACATCATCTGGAACTCATGAGCTTTACAAATTGGTTAAGATGCCTGTTTTCAACCCAGGAGAACTTTACTCTATTTGTATAATTACTGCCTAGCCCCTGTGTGTTTCTTTTTCTACCTTTTAAATTCCCATACATATTATTCACGTTAGATCTGTTGGGTCTCCTGGATCTATACTATAAGTCTTTATTGATTCTTTTGCTTTTGTATTTTGTTTCGTGTTGTCAGGATTTTATTTGATTTTCAGTTTAACACTTTAAGCCTGAACAGTGACAATATTCCCCACTTCAATTCATCTACTGAACTATATTGAATTGTCTGGTTGTATAACCACGTTTGTCAGTTCCAAAGCCTTTTTATGCTGTACTTGAATGCTCTTAAGTACACCTTTTTGTTGCTGAAGTTGTTTATTAGAGTTGTGGTATTGGTGAAGAATATTTTAAAGTACCATGGATTGCTACAAGACTGAACATATATCTCGGAGTAAACACAGTTGGAATGCTCCCTGAAAGCAAGAAAGGCCAGACTTTGTTTCACCTACTTTGGTCATGTTGCTAGAAGGGAACAGTTCCTGGATAAGGATATCAAGTTTGATAAAATAAAGTCAGTGAAACAGGGGAAGGTGCTCAACAAGATGGATTGACGCAGTGGATGCAAAGATGGGCTCAAGCATGGCAGTGACTGTAAGGATCAGGCAGTGGTTCATTCTGTTGTATGTAGGGTCACTGTGTGTCAAAGCCAACTCAATGGAATCTAAAACAAGTAGTTTTATTTAGCTGGGTTACTATTCCCTTTGTATTTATTGATCATTCTGTTGGGTTTTTGTTTTTAGGCAATCTTCGAGTGTTATGATTTTTCTTTGTTGGCTCACTGCAATCCAATGTTATAGCAGTGACAACTCTCCGACAAGCGGCAGAAGGCAAAGTGGCCTTCACTCCTGTGCCTTCTACTTTAGCAGCTGAACAGCCTTCCTGTTCTCTGATTACAATTTTTCTCATACTTTCCTAGCCTCAGTGACAGAATAAACTCAGCCTACAAGTTCAGATATTCCTTGGATTTATAGGGGTTAGAGAGCACTGACACGATGCCTAAGGGTCAGTCTCCTCCCAGCTTTTATTCAAGTATTTATTGAGCAATATTTATGTATCAAAAACTTAAGAAGGAGTTTACATTTACTAGAGGATAAAGCACATAACAACAACAAGAGTAAAAAGAGATGAGACCAACAACTAACCTCATTGCTGCTGAGTCGAATGCGACTCTTAGCAACCCCTCCTTAGGTTTGTAAGGCGGTATCTCTAAGGAAGTAGATTGCCCAGTCTTTCTTCTGAGGAGTGGCTGTTGGGTTTGAACCACTAGCACTGGTTACCAGTCAAATGCCTTAAACATTATGCCAGAGGAGGTATAAAAAGCAAAGTTCTCACCATTACAATTCTGCCTATAGTCTTAGCTCCATTCATTAACATTATCTCCTCTAAACACTGATGGCAACCCTTTAACCAAGGCTTATTTACTCGCTGTCTCCTCACCCTAATCAGTCCAACTTTTAGAAGGATGATACTTTAGTGGAGTATCTGGTCATTTCCCAAGTTACATCAAGTAATGATCAGTACTGCTGTTCTTTTAGTCTTGTAAAGTCTTGGAAACCTTATCAGGCCTTTCCCCTAATATATATCATTTTGTTGTTGTTGTTATGTGCCTTCGAGTCGGACCTGACTCAGCGACCCCTCCTTGGGTTTCTGAGGCAATATCACTACGGAAGTAGATTGCCCCATCTTCCTTCCGAGATATATCATTTTTAAGTATTTAAAGAAAAAAAAAAAAAAAAAGAAAAGAAAGAAAAAAAGAGTTTACCAGTATCTTTAATCTTAAAAATGCCATTTACCTTAAATGATCTTTGTATGAAATTCTCCCATAAAAGAACAAATCACCTATGAAATACATGGCTACGTTTTTAGTCTTTCCCATGAAAAAAGTTTGGTATGTCTTTGAAGTCATTTTAATTTATTTTTTCACAGGTTTTCCCTCTTTTCCTTTCCATACAGCTTATCTGTTGAAGAACCCAAGGTGTTTGAGCTTTCCACAGTCTGGAGTGTACTGACTGCATTCATATTTTTGTTGCAGTTCAACATGTTCCTCTAACCTTGGTAAACCTACTGCCATTGAGTTGATTCCAACTCATAGTGACCCCCATGGTTTCCAAGGCTGTAAATCTTTATGGAAGTAGATAGTCTCATCTGCTTCTCATGGAGCAGCTAGTAGGTTTAAACCACCAGCCTTCTGATTAGCAGCCAAATGTCTTATCCTCTACACCAGGGTATTTCCTGCAAATTGGTAGCTGAATCCTCAGGATTGAAGAGATTCAGGTTTGAGCACTCTGGCAATGCCTTGCTGGTTGTAAAGTGTGTTCTTTTAGCAGGGGCCATGTTATTTTTTTTTTTTCCCTCTCTATTAAATGTGAGCAGCAATACAGCAGTGCTTAGATACAAAAACTAATTGTCACAAAAGTTCATATTATATTTTTCTATTTGGATTAATTTAATAAAAAGAGTGTTCATCTATTATGAGGTGACCCTGTGACAGAGATCATATAGAAAAGGAAAGATAAATAATTCTTTCCTTTATTTTCTTAATTAAAGGTAACAAACTTTATCATCCATTGAAAACAACACACTTTTTAAAATTATCATTAAGAACTCATGGATTTAAATGTATTTGATGGGTTTCAATTTTTTCCACTGAAGCTCAAACTGTCCTACCTTTAGCTAGTGAGAACAGCCTCAAATTGCCTCCTAAGGCCTACTGACTCTTTGAAAGAGTTTCCCTGAAATCTGGAATGACAAAATGTTCCAAGCTCATCTTGTGTATTTCCTGCTCCAGACTTGGAATTTTCCATTTTTTCCCAAGAAGCCTCGGATTTTAGTAGAAAATGACATTTCAAGATCATAATTTGAGTAGTTATTGTTGTTGTTAGACATCATCAAGTTGACTGACTCACAGCAACACTATGTTTAAGAGAACGAAATGTTGCCCATTCCTGTGTCATCCTCACAATTGTTTGCTATGCTTGAGATTAATGTCGAAGCCACTGTTACCAATACACCTCATTGAGGGACTTCCTTTCTTTAGTTGATCCTCTACTTTACCAAGCATGATGTCCTTCTACAGAGACTGGTCCCTTATGATAACATGCCCAAAACACATGAAATGAAGTCTCACCATCCTTGCCTCTAAGAGAATTCTGGCTGTACTTCACCCAAGACAGATTTGTTTGTTCTCTTGGCAGCCGATGGTATATTAAATATTCTTTGCCAAAACATAATTCAAATGCATCAATTCTTTAGTCTTTCTTATTCACTGTTCAGCTTTTGTACACATAGGAGGCAAATGAAAGTACCATGACTCGGGTCAAGTGCATCTAAGTCCTACACTTGACATCTTAAAAATTTTTTTTTCATTGGTTTTTGCCTGAAATAAAGCGAGCCCTTTCAATCTGTATACAGAAGACTCTTTAATATGGAAAAATTTTTTGTATTTGTGATTATGTTTTTTAACTGAGTATGCCAAACAGTTTTCTGAAATCTTTTGGATATTGCCTTTAAAAATTGTTTCTAAAGAAATTCCCCTACTCTTCACCAAATGATCAGAGTTCAACCACCTATCAAAAAAATAAAAATGCAAACAAGACTCATTCATGGTAGGAAAAGACATGAAACATTTTGGTTAGTAACTTTGTACTTCATAATAGAATGAAAAGAACTCAGAGTAGCAGTGGTTACAGTTATGCATGGGCAAAAAGTTCTGCTAATAGGCTTGAATGTAATTGAGAAAAGAATTACCTCTTGTGGAAAAAAATCATGGAAATAGGGCAAGGAGTACTGTGTACCAAATTTAAATTACTAAATGCATCAGTCATAATGGATAGCTAGCATTTTCTCAGGTATTCAAAACATTTTCTGTATTACAAACAAACCAGGTGTTACTACATATTATGTCAATGAAATAGTTGAATACAGATTATTTTAAACCAACCTGTGTAACTTTCATCATCATCAGATAAAGGCACCTCTCTTTTTAGCAGCAATTCCAACTCCTCTGTTTCTGCTACATCCACTGGACGCTCCCCGTGTTTATTAGCTTGAAATGGGTTTCCACCATGACGAAGTAATAGTTTCACTATCTGCAACGTTTAGATAGTAGGAGGATTTAGTCTTCATAGATTGTACCATTTCAACCATTCTCTTGATGACACCAATATCCTTCTGCCTCATGTACTCTGCATTCAACCCTCACAGCATCTATTCTAAATCACTTATACTGTCTTTAAGTTCCACTTTTACTGACACCCCCATCTGCCAATCTTATCTATTACAAATAAATTCCTCTATTTTAAAACTTAGCCTTTTAGTACTTTATCTCATTGCTTTTCATCCTGTTCCATAACAAATTCACCAAGTATTTACCGAGTACTTATTAACAAGCCCTGCTCCAAATTCTGCAGAAAAATCAATGAAAAACATTAATAAGGTCCTTAGCCTCTTGAAATACACATTTTTAGAGGGAGCTTCAAAGAAAGTATTTCCCTTCTGTTTAAAGCTCATCTCACTAGAAATGTTAATCTTACTCTCTTTTGCATATTTCAGGAATTTAAACTATTATTACCCAAGGAGGATTTACTTAAAACGAATGAAGCTTCAAACTTCACTTTCATGGGCTCCTCACAAGAGCCTAATTTTCTATTTGTTATTTTAAAATTTTCTTAAAGAAGCCCACTCCTGCCTCGCTAAAATATAAGAGTTTCAGGCTCCACACAACCAGGATCTGCCCAGTTAGTTCCCATTTCATTTCTTTGATTCTTATCCTCTTCTTCTCTGTTGTTTTAGATTTCATTTTGATCAGCCCCCCTCTAGAAATCAATCTTCCCAGTTCATGTTTTTTTTCACCTTAAAAAACAAATAAAACAAAATATAAACAAACCAAGAAACTTTGTTAAAATCTATACTCCTCTCATCTAGCTAAATAAATCTCATCTTTCCTTCACAGTCAAACTCTTGAAGAGATGTTTATCCTCGCTGCTTCTACTTTCTTACTGGTCCTTCCCTCTTCTACCTGCAATTATGCTACCATCAATCCCATGAAACAGCTCTTCTAAAGTCTGCAAAGATCTAAGACAATAACTGCTTCCCTAAGTGTTTGCCCTTGATCCACTTTCTCATGTCCTAATCAACATCAGCTCCATGGAGATCTCATTTACTCTGACAGTTTCAATGTGATGACAATTACACACTACACTCATTTCATTCTTTCACCCCAACAGTTTTTTGTCTTGAGCTCCAAATGCTCACACCATACATCCAACTGTTGTTGTTGTTATGTGCCATTGAGTCAAACCTGACTCATAGCGACTCCTCCTTGGGTTTCCGAGGCAGTATCACTATGGAAGTAGGATTGCCCAACCTTCCTTCCGAGGAGTGGCTGGTGGGTTTGAACCGCCAGCCCTCTGGTTAGCAGGCAAGTGTCTTATCCACTATGCTACCAGAGCTCCCTACATCCAACTAGATATATCTAAATATAAAAACCTAAAACCAACAGATCCCAAACTGCATTCATTAAATTTGTATCCTTATCTTTCCTCTTACTTCCTTTCTCAGTGGCTGGCCCCAAAATTTACCCAGTCACTGAAGTCGGAAACTCAGGAGTCATTGTTGAGTTGTTTTCTTTTTTTTGTTATTCGCAATCTACATCAAATAGTGCTATTAATTCTGCTTCCTTAAATTCTCCTTTTGATTCTGGTCTTCATTGTATCTCAATAGGGGATATTTCAATATTGCCTAAATAGATTCTTTTACCTCCATATTACTGCTGTAGTATCTTTAAAACCCAAATCTGATTATATTTTCTCTGTTGAAGTTTAAACACTTAGCACCCTAATGTCTATTAAATGATTCTCAATATGTATGCTCAGGACTTCTCAGGAACTGGCTACAATGCTAACTAATCTGAAACATGAATGATGTCTTTTATGTACTATTATCCTCCAAATGTTAATTAAGTGTTGTAATTGAGTACAACTTTGTTCAAAAGTTTGTTAAATTAGTCAACAGATACTCAATGTACAATTATCATTGTGTAATGCTTCTTAAAAGGAGCTCTGGTGGCACAGTGCCTAAGGCATCTGACTGCTAACAAGAAGGATGGCAATTCAAATCCACCAGCCACTCCGTGGAAGGAGGACTGGACAATCTACTTCCATGAAGATTTACTGCCTCAGGAAAAATGGAATCTTGTCAGTAATCACCATGCTATTTCCCTCTAGCATCTTAGAGCTTGAAAAACTAGGTACAGCAGTTTGAATTAGGGATTTTGGTGCACCGCGGGCGGGTGGGGCCAGAGAGAGAAACACCTGCGGTGGACTGCGGAGTTGGGAAGTTGCCTTGGGTTGGCTTTTTGGTGCTGAGGGGCCTCAGGAACAGGGTTTTTACGTGTGTCTGAGCCTGGTGGAAAGTAGCGACCCCCTAACAACTGGAGTCTTGGCTGAAATTGAGCACTGGGCCTGTAAATAACAGTACAACATCATCGGTAGCAGCCAACTCAAAGCCCTAGAAATCGCCCCTATCAACAGCAAGCACTCCTTCTTCCATTCCCACCTTCTCTGCCAATAACTTCACTCATCCAATAGAAGAAACCACATTCAGCCAACATAAAACCTCCCGGTTCGAATGCTAAACCCTCTTTACAAGAAACAGAAACCCATATCCACATTCCACACAGTGATTCCAACATCACAAAGAAAACTGCAGACCGACCCCACATACCTGAACTAATAACTAAATAAAATAAAATACACCAGCTTCACCTTTTCAAAATATTAAACCATAAAACCAAGACAAAACAAATCAACATGTAACCAACAGTTAAAGACAACCTCTAAATGTCTAGGAAACAATAGGCAACCTCAAATAAAACAAAAAAACGGGACAAGGCATTAGAAGCAAAACTACAAACAAAGGTCTCATTATACATGGAGGAAGAGGAGGAGTCAAGAGAATTATCTGAGAAGGAATTTAGAAGATATGTTTATAGAGCTATACAAGAGCCTAAGGAAACCCCAAAACAGAAACATGGAGAACACAGACAGTTCCCTGGAGGAACTCAGGAAGATCACTGAGGAAGAGAATATTAAGATTAATGCATAATCAGAACTCATACAAAAACAGCAGTTAGAAATGCAGAAGATGAGTACCAAAATGACAGAATTACACAACACAGTAGAAGCACAAAAGAGTAGGTTGTAACTGGCTAAAGAACGTATATCCCAACTAGAAGACAAATCCATGGACACTAGACTGCATGAAGAAAAAAAAAAAACAAAGATTTAAGAGAAATGAAGAGAACCTAAGAATTATATGTGATGACATGAGAAAAAACAACGTAAGACTCACTGGAATTCCAGAACAAGAAGAGGTGAAAAAGACCATCAAGAAAATTGTGGAAGACGTGCTAACAGAAACTTCCCCCATATCATGAAGGAAGAAAAGATATTTGTCCAAGAAGCTCATAGAACTCCACACAAAACAGATCCCAAGAGAAAAACACTGAGGCATATTATAATCAAGTTTTCCAAAACCAAAGACAAAGAAAAAATTTTGAGAGCTGCCTGGGAAAAAGGAAATATTACTTATAATAATCAAACAGTTAGGCTGAGTTCCTATCACTCAGCAGAAACCATGCAGGCAAGAAGGCAATGGGACGGCATATATAAAACACTGAAGGAAAAGAACTTCCAACCAAAAATCCTACATCCAGCCAAATTATCGATCAAACATGAGGGCAAAATCAAGGCATTCTCAGACAAACAGAAATTAAGGGACTTTGTGAAAACCAGACCAACCCTACAAGAAATGCTTAAGGAAGTCCTTCTAACAGAGAACCTACAACAGAAGTCAACAAAACCAGGATACTTGGCATCAACACTAAAACCAAATCAGAAACAGATACTCAAAAGAAGATCATGAAACATTGTACCTTAAAAACCAAAGAACTCAATCAGCACACAACAGCAGCAACTAACCTATCAGAGGGAATAAAACTTCTAGGTACAGACCTTCAAGTGGAGAAGAAAACAGGACAATGTCCTCACAGTACGTACTGTTCTAAAAATGTAGAGACAAGAATATACTCCAAGGTAACCAAAGAGAAAAGGAACAATCCTTCTAAGCAAATCCAGAAGGAAGGAAAACATATGGGTTTAATAAGCACAAAACCAACTATAAAGAAGAAAAGGAAGAAAGCATTAGCCAACAAACTAAACTCAGCACAGAAAAGTATAAGGACCAAAGAAACACCAACAACACGACAAAAAAACACAATAGAATGACAACAATCAATTCATTCCTATCGCTAATTACACACTCAATGTGAGTGGACTAAATGCACCTATCAAGAGAAAGAGAGTAGCAGACTGGATAAGAAAAGAAGACCCATCGATATGCTGCCTACAAGAGACCCACCTTACACACAAAGATAAAAACAAATTAAGAGTTAAGGGATGGAAAAAAATATACTAAGACAATGGAAACCAAAAAAAGAGAAGTAGCAATACTGATTTCTCATAAAATAGACATTAAGGTGAAAGACATCATAAGAGATAAGGAGGGATATTATATGATGCTGAAAGGGTCAACTGACAAAGAAGATGTTATAACAATAAATATTTATGCACCCAATGAAAGTCCTCCAAAATATGTGAAGCAAGCGTTAACTGAAATAAAGGGATAATAGACAACTCTACAATAGTGATAGGAGGCTTTAACACACCACTTTCAAAGAGGGACAGGTCAACTGGAAAAAAAAACTCAACTCAGGATACAGAAGAACTCAACAATACAATCAACCAACTCAACCTCATACATATATACAGAGCATTTCACCCAACAAAAGCACAATTCACATTCTTTTTCAGTTCACATGGATCCTTCTCCAGAATAGACCATATGCTAGGATATAAAACAAGCCTCCATAAATTCAAAAACACTGAAATAATGCAAAGCATCTTCTCAGACCACAATGTTATAAAATTAGAAATTAATAACAGGAAAAGCAAGGAAAAAGCAGCAAACATATGGAAGCTGAACAACTCACTGCTCAAAAACTATTGGGTTACAGAGCAGATTAAAAACG